CTCTGAATACATAGTATCTTCTCCGCAGTCTGTGCTCTGAATTTTTTAACCAACTCTTGAATATTACCACTAATAGTACCATTTCCTACATCCATTATTTGTTTATCACATAACATTAATCCTAAAATATATAAAACATTAACCCTATATAAAAATGATATCAATCTTTGATAGCATTAAATTTATGTATTATCATAGTTTATAAAACCCTCCAGTCCAGTCCAGTTCCTTCTGTTTTTCCTATATCCTTGTATCCCTAACTTTTTTTTAAACATTGGCTAAATGCTCTACGCAAAGCCATATTTAAAAAAAAACAAAATTGAAAATATCGCAGGAATTTTTGTAGTTTGCCGAAAATCAATATAATATTATTTTTTAAGTGCACATAGTGATAAAGTAAGGACAGACATGGCAGCGAAACAAAAGAATATATTCACACGGAGTAAGCCATTGATTAACATTTACAGTGGGGTGGATCATGAAGGAAAAGAGGTATGGATCTTGTGGGAGGTATGTGTCGAATTTGGTGTTGTTGTTTATTTTACTATTATTTATTTAGGTGGAAGTAAGGGAGGATGCGGAACAGCTGGTAAAATGGCACGAAATATCGGATGCCCTGGTTGCGGCGGGATACTATCGCGCTCAGCTCCAAGGATTATCTGCATTCGATAAAATTGTCGGTGGCCTTACTTGGTGCATAGAACTTTGCGATATCGACGTGGATGTCAGCCTCCAGTTCGAAGAGAATCTTACTATTGGCAAGAAAATGTAAATACAAAGAACTCTATTTATGTATTGTATTTTCCACGTATTTTCAATGATTTTGTATTTCATTTGTGTTTTCTGAAAGTATTATAATGTTAATTTCCATTGTATGGTTTGCAGTGCACTCACTGAGAAAATAGTAAAGGTTCTACCAAGCATGAAATGTCCATTTATCATAGAACCCCATCAAATCCAAGGCTTGGACTTTATTAACATTCATCCGTTAGTTCAATGGCTTATAAAGTACTCGAGTGAGTTTAGGGAGGCTAAAGAGGATGAGCTGCGAAAATTTGCAATTATGCAATATGATAAGGATCATATTTTCGAATATGACAGAACAACATTTATTCAGGAAGAAAAGCTTTTGAGGAACTTGTGTGCTGTACAGGTATTTATTTGTCTATGACTTTATAATGAATATACTGGACATTTGTAAATACAAATGTCCAGTATATTCATAATAAACTCTGTGTTTACAGAGTTTAGGCATCCTTATTTTAGAGTTGTACTTTTTGGAACCCTTTCAAAATATTTGTTTTTGTAATTGTTTGGTAACTTATTTATTTATGTCATCTATTTTGTGACAATTTGGTATTTTGTTATGGGACTTACACAAATTAGTATCATTATGGTTTGTCATGAAAATGATGTCAGAATGTATGAATGCATATTTGTTATAGAATCTTTACAAACCCTGCAGAGTAAGAAAAAGGAAAGGTGGCCTCCCATCAAATGAATTAGAGCAAGTGAACGCTGCTCTATCTGAATATGACCAACGGATGCTGATGCATGTTTCTACTAGCACCGACAATGCCAAGAAAGATGAGGGACTTGACTTCTTGGTATGTGATACTAATTATTACAATATTTTGATTGAAATAAAAAATTCAAGTATTAATTCTAAATATAATGTGCTCTACAAATAAATTGTTGAAATAATGTAGCAAATGTTGCTTATTTACATATTTTATATACACTTTCCATGTGGAAGTGTGCTTGCCAAGTTTGTGTAATATTCTCAAATGTGACAATTTTTTAATTAATTGCAGTATGACTATGAGAAGACCTTAGCAGATCCATCAGAGGTCACAACAGAAGTAAGTATTTATTCCACTTTGTCATCTTTTTAAATTTTCTGATAGCAACGTCAGTTCACAATTCCATTTCTATATGTTTCAGACTGATATTATCAAAGCCCAAGATATTAACGTAGATTCAGCAGATACAATAATCCATTATGCTGTGCTGCATTCGGAACTTACAGGAGAACTGTCAAAAGAACTAGAGGATAGTGAGAAACAAAAGTTTTCTGAAGATGTGGATAGATTGACAAAAGCCATAGAATCTATGGTATTGGGAGTAGAGGAGAGAAAGAAGAATCATGAGAGCAGAATGGACAGTGCCAAAAAACAATACTACCATGTTACTGAAACACTGAAAAATATAACTTATAAATTAGTTGCTAATCATGAGTATAGGTATGAAACCTGGCCAATGCTCTAAATCAACATTGAGAGAAGTTAACTGACTTATGTTTTTCGTTTGTTTTGCAGTGATAAGGATGCAAAAGAATTTTATAAATCATTAAAAGAACTAGCAAGAGAAAGAAATGAACTTTTGCAGCTGATACAAAATAGAGAGAAAGAATATAAAAAATTGGAAGTGCAGTTAGGGTAAATATGCATAACAGTTGTGGAGTATTTTACGTTTTTAATAGTCCTAAAAAACTTCATAACTTTAATACTTCATATTATCATATCCACAGAATAGTCCAAGATCCAGATGCAAAAATCAAAGATATACCACTAACACCAGCCGAGCTAAAGGAGTACCAAGATCGAGAGGAAAAACTAAAAAATTTTATTGCCAACATGAGATTAGAACTTGCCAAGGTAAACCGAGAGGTTCTGCACTATACTCTCGCGATAGATGAAGTTCCTGGCACTGCAGAGTTGTTGCAATATGAGAAGAGATTTATTGAACTTTATAATCAAGGTAAATTTTCCTATGTTGTACATATACATTTATTTTTTTCAATACAAGGTCCCATTTACGTATTGTTCTATAGGGTCGCATGTAAACATGCTTATAACATTTCTTATATGCATGAGGCTACTTGTAACCAATCAATTTTAACACTGTTGTTTTGTCTGAACAAACAAGAACATGTAGTCTGTTATTTTTATACAAAAACTAGCTCCATCCTAACATCAATTTTCAAGGATCTTAGCTTATTTATCGTAATTTTAAATTGAAATTTCAAATAATTTAGAAAGAATAGAATGGGTGTAGAATTAAAGTTTTGTTACAGTGGCCTCAAAACACAAAGAAACAAAGCAGTATTACATATTTTACAATACACTTTACGAAGTTAAGCTTTACACTTCAAAAGAACTGAGCCTACTTAATTCAATCTTGGATAACTATGAAGAGTAAGTACCAGTTTTATATTACATTAAATACAAACACATTTAGAAGCGGCTTCCTACGACCCGTTCTACCACGGGCCGCGCCGCACACTGGTCGAAATTGAGAGCTTCGCTTACATAGGAATTTAAAATATTGAATAATTATTGCCTTAAAAAATGTATTATATAAGAATGTTATAACTTAAGCTAATATCTATTTTATTATTATTATAATTATAAAAATACATTAACTTATTGCATTAAAGTTGACTAATATTACGTTTTTTATTAAACCATATCTTTTGAAAGGGGTTGCGCGGGGTAAAGGTCAAAGATCATATGGCACCACTATCGACCTAGTAACAATATCTAATAAGTTTTAACTCGTTACACAGCTTAACGGTAATGAGATAATATTTTCAAATACATTTTCGTTTTCATACATTTAAAATGTTCAAGACCACTTTTCGTCGCGGTGAGCGGTGAAATTGGTTTAATTAAACTGTTCGGTTTTATGTCATTTTCAGTAATGTTTGACAGGTTGCAAAATGAAAAACAGCATGTAATTTTTAAAAATTCCTAAGCTTACATACATGAAGGTTTCAATTCCGACCAGTGCACCGCGCCGATTCGAATGGACTGCGGCGGCGCGTATTCGGGTATTTGTTAAGAGCTTACTCTATATTTTTTATACTTTATAATATCAAGGGACGGGACGAAAAAGTCGTGCGCCAGGCGGTAACGCGCGTCTCCGCCGTCTCCTTCTGGCCGCCCGAGACGCGCGTCACTATTTACTAGTGCTACTAACAACGCGCGCGCCCTGGGAAGAATCCCAGGGCGCGCGCGTTGGCGCGAGCTCGCTTCCCACGGCGCGTTTGTGCCAGTGTTGGCGCCCGGTGCGGCCCGTGAAATCACGCTCCTTGGGAAGCCAGCTTTAGAAAGAAATATACATTGACATAAAGGCCTTAACTGCAGCCTCTGTTGCCAAGTAGCTAGTGGGTAATTTTCAGGTTACTTTTTTCTTACCTAATTTCGGTGGCAATTTTCATTATTTAAACATTCCAGAATAATATCATGAATTATTACCAAGGATCGGAATAGGTAGTGTTTTTTCGAAGAACATAGACAGAAAATGGAGATTGCTTTACGACAATATTTTTAGGTCCATACCTTTTCGGGATTCGGGATATCACTTAAGAATATTAAAAATTGACGTGATCGGGGACAGGTAGGTACACTATGTTTATCTTAACTTTGCTACGTACAGCGGATCGGGTCTGCGATATTTCGAACATTGGGTTATCATATCACATTTTGCCATAAATGTAAGTTTAGTAAGAAAAAATAAAACGTGTATTTTTTGTATAGGACCATACCTTTAGTGCCCCGTCGTTACAAAGTCTGAGTCGATCCAGTCTTGGAATGACTACAGACGTATTATTAAACGCACGTCCAAACCTACCTATTCACTACTTATACGTGTCAGAAAATGGGAAAAATTGCTCATGAATACGATTATTGGTTTAATACATTAATTACCAGTGATTGGAGTAGGTAGGCTTTTTTCGAGAAACATAGACAGAAAATGGAGACTGCCTTACGAGAATATTTTTTAGGTCCTGGATTTTTTCGAGATTCGGGAAATCACTTGAGTACATTAAAAATTGACGTTATTTGAGATAGGCAGGTTAGACTATATTTGTCTTAACTTTGCGACGAGTTGTTGCAACACCAATTTTTCAGAGTATTTAGGAAAATTCCTACAATAAAATTCATTAATTTTTTTTTAAGTATACACTTTACAAAAGACTATCTCCCGCCAACATTTTACATTTAGTTAGAGTTAATAAGATTTGTTTTACTAACATTCTGTTTTATGGACGTTCCTGCAGAATCCTAAAACTATCGCAACGTCTCTTCGTGTTCTAGGTATATGTTTTAACTTTCTGACTCGATTTTCATGTCATAATCAGGAAACTTCTGCATGCTTAACACATTGTGCCAGCCTTCTTTAAAATAAAAAAGGGTGCGACATATAAACAATAGTAGATTGTAATATCGGAATAGATTGAGTACATTTACCTAAACTTCAAAGAGAAGTACACGTAGAGTGGATAATACCGCATTCTGATATACCGGAATGATAATCACAATGTTTTCATCCCGGAATTTTAGAAATCACGAATTATTTATTGAATTTTGAATACATTGATAACAAATAATTGACAATATATATACTATAAATATATGTATAATAAAAAATATATAAACTAAAACTGTTTTAAATTAAAGTCTGTTACTTCACATATAAAACTAAATTGGTTGGTTTTTCGTGTTTATTTCTTTCAATAGGAAATTAAAACTACTGTTTGGAATTCATACTGATGTTTTGTTATTACTTCAGATAATCACTGTACTGATTCCAAAACTGGATCGACTAAAACTTCGTAACGATGGGGTACTAAAAGTATGGCCCCATACAAAAAATACACATTTTTTTTTCCTACTAAACTGTTACATTTATGGCAAAATATGATATGACAGTATTTAATTAGGACAATAGGATCTCTCGATTGGCATTTTTGATGATGAGGATGACTCACTGTGTCGCAAAGTTAAGATAAATATAGTATACCTGCCTGTCCCCAATTACGTCAATTTTTAATGTACATAAGTGATTTTCCGAATCCCGAACAACCCAGGACCTAAAAATATTGTCGTAAGGCAGTCTCCATTTTCTGTCTATGTTTCTCGAAATTTAGGTAAGAAAACTCTACCTATTTCGATCCCTGATTATTACTTAATATCCTGAATATTATTTAATATTTCACAATAATATATTCGAATACGTGAAATGACCGGCACATGGAACTTGTCAACATATCTCTGGGGACGGGCAGTGCCCCGCAGATCTTTGCAATTTAAAGCTCTGATTGACACTGCAACTGATAACAGTTGCAGTGCCAATCAGAGCTTTAAATTGAAAATAAAATCAGACCAGTCCATAAGCACTGGTCTGTCGCTTACCTCGACGCCCACGACTTGTTCGTCCCGGAACTTTGTATCATGAAAAAAGACCCTAGCACACTTGTCGTGATAGATGAGGAGGTCTCGCAGTCAATACCGTGTAAGGCCAATTTTCGAAATAAACTTATGAATCCGTCCTGGCCTGGGTGTTCTGGGTAGTGCCTACAAATTTAATTTCGCCACTCTGTTAGGCATAATACAGGTCATTACGTAGTTTATGACTATGTTCATGCTGTTACTATTTATTATACTGTGACTGCTATAGTTATAACGAGTTCTTAGGTTTTCGAATTTTTTTAAACAAGCCAACGTTTCAAGACCCTTATAAGTTGACAGGTTAACCGTGACCATGAAACCTGTAAAGGGCCCGAAATGTTGGTTTGTTTGAAAAAACAAATGAACAAATTTCCTATGCTATATATACTCGATGTGCCCATACTATACGAATAGGTATATTCAGAAACCTAGTTAATTGGTGCATAAATTACAAATGTTTCTTTTAGAGCAATGTCATCAACAAGAAAGAGGGAAGAGTTTATGAACCAATTTGAATCAATTGTGGAATGGGTTAACCAAACAGTAAAAAAAGTTGAACAGAAATTTCTAAGGGAAAAGGAACAGAAGTCGGCTCTCCATGCGGAGTATTCTCGACTAATGGATATACAGCGACAATGTGCTGCCGCTTTGAAGAAATTAGCTGAAGGCAGGCATAAATTCAGTCAAATACCAAGCTGACCTCCTCGAGAGTAGAAGTGAAAATTGTGCAATAAAATAATTCATAATCAACATAATTTTTTTGGTGTAGGCCCCCGGCGATAGTTGATTTCTCTGCATTTATTGTATATTTGGATTATAAAAATATGTTATCGAATTATTACGTAAAGTTATTGTTGAGACTGAAATAGCTTTTATAATGTTTTCATTACTCGCCATTTGATTGATTAGAAAAAGTAAAATAATTTATTGAAATTTTAAACATTTTTTTATTCTTTCATTACCCTGTTACAATATAGACAGTATCACATATCATTTCGAAATCGTAAATAATCGGAACATGGAGATATAAAATAGATAATAAACATTCACAAATCGTAAAAGTGACATTTTCGGCTAAAATACCAACAATTCTGAATTTTTAAAACCAGCATCATTTACACATAGCACGAACGGCCTAACGACCTTATCGTACACTCGTCTTACGGAATGGTAATGTTACTCAACTCACTGTCCCTCAAAGAGTGACTACGTTGCCGTGTGGGTGACTTCTATGCGAATTAAGGTGGCTATGGCTGTGGCTGTGGCCATGTGAACTGGAATTCGACTTCTTGTACATGGAGAAGGAAATAAGTTCTCGATTTGCATTGGTCATAGCCATTGCATGTGACACCACATCGTAACCCAGTAGCCCGTGTAGACGATTCACTACCACGAGAGTTAGGCCCTTCTGTGTCACCTTCACAGTCCTTTCAGCGTCGGAAGTCACCGCAACTACCATTTTAAACGAGGAATTCAGCTCCTGAAAACATTGCTATATAAGTTGAAATGCAGGGGCACATAAACAATGCAATGATTTTAGAACTGTAATGGAAATAAACAAAATTAGTAAGTATCTTAAGATAGTGTAACATGGTAACATATTAATTGAAATTTTGTTGTAAACACGCTAAATAAGCGCCTTGGCGTCAAGTTGCGGACGCCAGCCCGTTACACCTAGTACTAAGTAAATTTGTAAGCCGTTTTTAGTCTTGTCTTCTTTAGTCAAGGCAAATAAATATATTTTTACGTTTGCACACCTTGGAATGCAAAGATGTTAAGCGCTTTAAATTAATAAAGGCATCGTTTCGTATTTTAAATATTGAGACCTGCTCACTGTAACACGTCACTGAAAATAAACACTATTGTGTACATAATTACCCTCACTAAAGTCGCACGTTCCTCGCTATTTAGCCCGTACACGGTCGCACCGTCATCCTTCGAAAGATGAGGAGCGCTGAGGCTACCCATTACCATTATGTACGGCATGATTATGTTAGCACTAGCACTGTCCTACTGTGATCATGCGGAGTGTGTAATCACCGAAGCACGGTGTTCATTTTAATTACGGTCGCGAGTTGTTCCCTGTATTGTGTAATCAAACGGAACTGAGACTCGGCGAGTCGGCGCGGCAGGTAGCACACTCGTGTGAGTGAACTTTGCCAGGTAAGCAGCCGTATGAAACGTGGTTCGCCGGCCAATGTATACGTAGACACGTGTACGGATGCGATGTTGATGTGTTAGTGCAGTGACGTCGGGTGCTCACTTGGCCTTCACGGGTGGATGCTCTCGGTCGGCGTGCGCTGGCGACGGCCGCAGACGGTTAAACAATGCATTTATCCGTGAGGGGTTTTTAATTGCAGACCTAAATAGATAGGACAAACAACACCCTGGAAATACTTAGAAATTGTTTAAGTTCGGACCTAAGTTATATGTAATTAATTGTTTAAAATTTAGTCTTGGTTGGTAAGTAAACCACAACTGAGGTTGACTACAAAAAACACAGGTCAAAACCTCAAGAAATAAAAATGAATATAAATAATTGACAATCTAGCTGCCAATGTCAGCCGTGGCTGTGACAAATCCGATAGTTTCATACATAGTAAACAAGCAAAAATAATTTATTTGTGTTTTGTTCAGAAATCACTTACTTGCTTCACCATGAGTCATTCTATGAGCAGTCCTAGGAATATTCAACTAGGTACATGTCACTTATCAATTAGTGCTTTGCTTAATATTGAAAGCAGATGTAGGCACATTTTATCCGCTTTACGCACGTGTCTTAGGGATCCTGTAAATTTGAATCTAAGGGTCGTATTCTAGAACCCTATTCAATGCTCAAGTCAGGACTGCAATGGCAACACAAGCACTGGAAATACGATCCTAATGGCAGGGACTTGAGTATGATTTTACTGTACTCAAGTTCTGACTTGAGTAGAGTTCTGGAATACGACGCGTAAGACCGATCGTGCATGATACAGAAATTTGCTTTAAGATTCTATACTACTGCTCGAGTTAAAAACTTTCCCGTACTAATACGGTTCATTTTGCTTGGGTCGAGCGACAGGGACAGTGGCTTTATTTCAGAATTTATATTTTACAAACGAAATTAAAGCCATTTGAAAAATGTATAGGCATCGTATTCTTTACTATACGTGTTCTTTTTAGTTCAGTTAATATTTAAAAAAAAATCATTGGTATTTAAAGTAGGTACCTATTGAATACAGGGGTTGTCTTGAAAAATTTCGAAATAAGTTAGTGTTTTTTCATGGTGAAAACTTTTAGGAATCTTCTTTACACACCGTGTAGTAGTAACCAGTGTATATCTTCAATCAACTAAAGCCATTTGAGGTAGTATAGACTCTTAAAATCCCCTAATGGTATCTGTTACTGGAAAATATCTTGTATTATTTGTAGTGTTTGAAACTTACCAAAAGGCTCGGTTGGTGTTCGTGCAGACAATGGCTGAGTTAGCCACGAGGTCTACCAACGTCAAATGCCTTGAGAGTGCTGGAGTCTTGGGTCAGTACAAGTTTTTTAAATGATATATTTTTTTATAACGTCAAGTGAAGGGCGAACGAGTCGTGCGCTTGATGGTAAGCTACACGCCTGTCCATAACAGTTACAGTGCCACTCAGAGCTTTAAATTGCAAAGATCTGAGGGGCACTACCATTGCGTCCGTCACCCTGAGACATAAGTTGACAAGTCCCATGTGCCTGTAATTTCACCAGCACCCTTACCCTTCAAAACCGGAACACAGTAATGCTGACATTATTGCTTGGCGGCAGAAATAAGTAAGGTATTCCCTAGACGAACTCTTTCACAAGGAGCTATACTGCTACTGAAACATCATCTGCTACTAATACATCCCAAACGAAACCTAGTTATCTAATAAACTATATACTTAATAATTATATGTAATTTTACATTACAGTTTACAAATGGTGTAATCACACTTATCAAACTAATTGGGCTACCACGCCACGGCATAAGTTTGTTATTCCTTGCTAACTTAGACGTTTAATATCTAAAGTTATATGTATTTTTAAATATCCATCTGCATAGCTATGCACTTATGTAGTTAGTTCGTCCTATAAATATGAACAAACGTTTCCAGATATTTATAATATTTTATTTTAACGAATTAGATTTCCTTCGACCGCTCTTGTCGGACCCATGTACAACAGTAAGACAATGCGCGCTAGTTGCAGCAGCGAGACTGGGCGAACACGATGAGGGCGTTGCTAGGCATCTTCTTAATGGCGGCATGGTTACCATTACGCTCGAAAACCTTCACAAATACAATGTAAGACCAAAATATGATTCGTTATTTAAATTACTAATGAACTAAATTCATCTAACTATTATTAAAACGTTGACTATGGCTACCATTTGCGTTGCGTTCACTCCAGGAGAAATTAGAAATATAACAGTATTTTGACACAATTATTATCAAAATTGCACGTGTAGTAGGTATACTTAACTTCACGTCTAAGCGCTTGCAATAAGAACGATCCAAAGTGTGAAGCTTGATGTGTTCTTGACTGTACCTAAGATTACAATGTCACACCATATGTTATACTCTCTGGACTTTAAATTTATAAACCCAGTGATCGGAATTCAGGAAGTAATTTAGCTAAACTAAAGAAAAAATGTGGACATTCCCTTCCACAAAACCCGGGACTTCTTGGATTTCATTAATATTTGAATGCGAACATTATTTATAGAAATATGTGACAAAATTACTATTTCCTATTAAATATTGGCTACAAATTATTGTCTCAAAAAATAATATGTAATTATGTTTCTATAGGTACTTACGCATTTAAATACTTTAGCCATTTAAAAAATAAATATGAGCCTAGCTTTTATAACATACATTGTAGATTGTTTAGATAATAAAAGTAAAAAAAGAAATTTTATACGAATTGGGTATGTCCATACTAAGAAAACGTTCATATATAGGTAAATTAACTCCCACAATTCCAGATCAATGATAAACACTCAGATAAGATGAGAAATAATAAATTAAGTAACAATTTGTTCGGCAGGTGTACTACAAAAGATCGGCATTGTATTTATTGAGAGCGGTTGCCAAGTAAGTGCTAACTTGTCGATTGTCTTAATTTTGTAACCAATGCGATAAACTGATTATTACGTCTGCCTAGGCACAACGAAGAATTGGCGTCTGCATTAGTGCGCTTAGGTGCTTTGGAACACATAGTGTCTTGCCTGGAAGACTTTGACACTCAGGTATATCTACTTATGTTCATAGCGTATTTATAAGGTATACATTTTGTTTCATTACAATCTACTTATTTATTACGTTATGTTCAAATTATTAGGTGAAGGAAAATGCAGCATGGGCTCTGGGTTACACTGGAAAGCATAGTGAACATCTATCTGGACTGGTAATAGACGCTGGAACATTGCCACTGCTCATCTTAGCCTTCCAAGAACCTGAGATGAGTTTGAAACAGGTGAGAAATTAACTAGAACGGCGGTATCCGTGGATTCTTAGTACCCCCATATTGTAGATACAGGTATCTATTAGTATGGGTTATATACATATATGAAAATAAGTAGAACTAACTTCGGCTCAATTTATATTGCGGCGGAACGGAATGGAACCGAATTTTTATATTATAAGATTTTGGCTCGTATCTAGTTTGTACGTTATAAGTAAATAAATATAGTTCATTATGCTATGTACGTTTGTACGATATTGTTATCGTTACAAGAAGCTTCTATTCCGTTCCGCCGCAATATAAATTGAGCGTAAGTCACCGGGCTTCAAAGTCAATAATATACTTACTTACCTAAGTAAAGAAACATTTTACATTTTTTATCTTTATTAGATTGCCGCCGGGGCTTTAGTGGACTTAGCGCAACATAAGCCAGAGGCTGTTGTAGATGCCGGCGCGATATGTCATTTGGTGCGAGGATTGGAGAATCAAGATCCTAAATTAAAGGTTTGATGTTAATGACACCTGACTGGACAAAAAGTGGTACATATTTGATAATACGCAAAAACTTGCCACTCGTCTACATGTTTGCAAAAAATATATCGATCATAGCGTTGTCGTAAGGTTGTTTGCTTAGGATATTTGCGAGAGTACCTACTGATCATTTACATCCAAATCCAAACCCTGTGTTTCATGAGCGGCTATATCAAAATACAACGGTAAATATTTTAGTAGAAAACACTAACTTTTCAGCAGGAATGTATAAAAATAAATTCATGTGTTGTGCTCTATAGAAATTTGATCCAATTTTGGATAATAATTAATTAATTAATTATTTTTTGTAGAGATTATCAAATAACTAATATAGTAACTAGCTAAGGTCGTCTTCCTAGGGTTAAGGTTACAAAAGCTCAAATACTTTTAATTTTTAACCATGAAACGCTTCTCTTACGCTAAGTGATTAGAAGATAATATTATGTATATCAATAGCAGTAGGTAGAGCTCCTTGTGAAAGAGTTCATCCAGGTTAGTACTGCCACCTGACCTATTTCTACCGCTAAGCAGTATTGTGAGCGTTAGGGCGCATTTATTCGACACGAATTTCATCGCGCTCACCCCGCGCGGCCGCCGCGCAGTCGAAGAGCGGAATCCGTGTTGCCGCCGCGCAGCGACCGCGTGCTTCTAACTGTCAAGGCAAAATACGCTTTATTTGTTTAGCTTTTACGTTTTAATTTAAAGGAGCGTTCCGGGCACGCGGGCTAGCCTGGCTTGAATTTGGTCTCCGCGGGGGCCCGCGCGACGAACGCGCGGCGGCCGCGCGGCAATGTTCTTGAGAGGAGTTTAAATGTTGTTGCATAATAAATAAAATTCAAATTCGCAATTAATGTACACGAAGGCGTGGTAACTGGGCGGTCGCCGCCCAGCGGCCGCGCGAAAAATTTGTTCTCGTATAACTGGGCTCTTACGTTGCGGTTTTGATGGGTCAGGGTGCTGGTGAAATTATAGGCACATGGGACTTGTCTATTTATGTCCCTGGGTGACAGGCGTAGTAGCAGTGCCCTTTAGCAGGCTGATTTTAATTTAAGTCAGAATCGTTCCGATCGGGTAGCCCATCCGAGTCTTGAAATCAGATAGATGGGTTTCCGAGCGAGAAGATGAACCTGATTCCTACTAGATAAGTATATCTTTGTAATTTGTGAGTTAAATCAACTATTGTTCCGATTTGTTATGTCCAAAGTTTCCGACTGGCCAGTTGTGATTCGCAATTATGCGCCCCGACTCGGAAGAGACACAGTTTCCGATCGGGAGAGGCAATCAAAATCAAGCTGCACGTCTTTGTGATTTAAAGCTCTGAGTGGCATTACAACTGTTATGGACAGGCGTGTCGCTTAACACCAGACGCACGACTTGTCCGTCCCATACTTGAAGTTTTTGTATTGAAAACTTTTAGAAATATAATAAGTATGTTATTTGAATATATACTCTCGGACACATAATTCGAGCCACCTCGCATTTTTGTCTTAAAGGGCTGGAATACAAAAATAGTGTTATCATCGAAGAAAAAGTTTTCCCTCGGTTTTGCAAATCCAAATTCCCAACAAGGACTTATGGAAATGATGTTGAGTATACTAGTTTCAAAATTGCATAATAGTTTTTGATCAATTAAACATAGTTTAAGCTTAGAGCACATAATATTGAAAATGCGTGGTGGCTCGAATTATGTGTCCGGAAGTGTATTTCAAAATACATAAAATAAAAATTGCATTCGAAATCGTTCCAAACTGAGTCGTATTTGCGCTTTGATTCACGATCGATATGGACTGCAATAATATTCTTCTTATTTTAAGACTACTTGTCGGTAACAATAATATTATCAAACGATAAATGCGACCGTGCAGCCTGGCAAACAGTTTTCTTAACGAAACATAGTTTCTGATTGTTATGGTTACTTGAGCACATTTTAATAGATTAGTAATAGATACGACATACACAAATGTAGGGCTAGACATAAAGTGCGGGATCTCTATGCAAGGTTTCTGATTGTTATGGTT